GGTTTGGTGGAGAGAGTGCATCAGGGGGTAGAGAGAGTGCATCGGGGGTAGAGAGAGTGCATCAGGTGGAAGAGAGAGTGCATCAGGTGGTGGAGAGAGTGCATCAGGTGGTGGAGAGAGTGCATCAGGTGGTGGAGAGAGTGCATCAGGTGGTAGAGAGAGTGCATCAGGTGGTGGAGAGAGTGCATCAGGTGGTAGAGAGAGTGCATCAGGTGGTAGAGAGAGTGCATCAGGTGGTAGAGAGAGTGCATCAGGTGGTGGAGAGAGTGCATCAGGTGATGGGGAGAGTGAAAGGGGGTGAGGCAGCTGCAACACTTGGGATTAAGACAGAGATGGTAAACTCAGGAAAAAGATATAATCACAGAGCAGTTGGTGTACTTGTTAATACATGCATGAAAGATAGGAAGGTACCTAAGGACTGACAAAGAGCATCATGCACAGTTCCAGTGTATATGAAAAAAAGGACAAGAGAGACTATAAGAGTTATAAGGTGAAGTGTATGGTAGAACTATTGTTGAAAGATATACATTAATGTGTCTTTGTGCTTTCTTCCTGAGACTCCCTGCGTCTCTGTCTCACTAGAAACCTGTCTAATGAAATTTGCTTTTGTTTGTGTATTAAAATGTTTCTGAAGTGAGACATAGCATTGTCATTAAGCAGGTTTATAACACGATTTGCTACAGCTATGTCTGGGTGATATTTTTCAAGAAAACTTTGTACTTCTCCCCATTTTGCACACATTTCTTTTATAAGAGCAATAGGCAGGTTGTGTTTGTTCGGTTGAGTGCCGAGCAAACGGTCGATTACCGAGCAATTTTTTTACTGACTAAAGCATTCAAATACTGAACTGTTTGAGTTGGGAGCTGTTCGAGTACCAAGGTACCACTGTATCTTGTATAACAAGAGACTTTCTAGGAAGTAATTGTTTACTGTACAGTCAATCACTTTAGAAATACAGTGGACCCCCGCATAACGATTACCTCCGAATGCGACCAGTTATGTAAGTGTATTTATGTAAGTGCGTTTGTATGTGTATGTTTGGGGGTCTGAAATGGACTAATCTACTTCACAATATTCCTTATGGGAATAAATTCGGTCAGTACTGGCACCTGAACATACTTCTGGAGTGAAAAAATATCGTTAACCGGGGGTCCACTGTAGTTCATTTGTTTTGTTTCATTCTTATGAGAAGCGTTGAACCCCTGAAGGTCATACAGCGCCTGGAGAATGAGAGTCAGTCAGGTTCAATGTAAGGATGAGTCCAATTCCTTGGATTAAGAGCCCTTCACTGGCATCAATTTTTGCCTTACCTCTTTAGTATGAGCCATGTCAGTGATTATACCATCAGTGAGGATGAGAAGAATGAAGTACTTGTCTCCGGCCTTGTTAGAGCAAGCAAACCGAGCAACATGGTTGATGATTGGAGCAAAGTTTGTGGGTCCATAGAGTTGAACACGACTCACACATGCATAGTAGGCCTCAAGCACTCCTGTGGAAAATAAGATTTGTTCGATTTTTAACCTGGAGAGTTAGCCACCCAAGATAATCCAAGAAAGTCAGTGTGTCATCGAGGACAGTATCTTATTTCCACTGTGGTCCTTCAATTTTGTCCCCCAGGATGCCACCCACACTAGTCCACTAACACTCATGTATCTATTTACTGTTAGGTGATCAGGGACTGCAGGTGTAAGGCAACTAACATCCAGGTACCTACTTACTGCTAGGTGACCAGGGACAGCAGTGTAAGGAAACACGCCCAATGTTTCCACCCAGCCAGGTATTGAACTACAGACACTCAGTGTGAGGTGAGTGTTGCCTTCCAGGGCATAGGACCTGGCATTAATTAATGTTTAGCAGACATACAGAATATCAGTCTGATGTAGCGAATGTTAGGATAAAAGGACACATGTGAAACTAATGAGATATTTTCCTGTGGCAATGTTTTGCTCATCAGGAGCTTTATCAAGCCAACATTTTGCTCCTTAAGAGCAAAATGTTGATTTAATAAAATTTCTAATTTGTTGCATGTGTCATTTTACGTAATGTATAGTTGGTAGTTTCACCAATGCTATTTTGAAAGTTGAATATAAGAACATAAGAATGGAGAAGCACTGCAATAGGTCAACTGCTTTCACTATGCACATCATTCTCAAATTTAATTCTTTCCCAAGCTCGATTGCTAGCGCACTCAGCTCACACACCGAGGTCCAGGGATAAATCCCAGTATGGCTGGAAAACATTAGGATGTATTTTCGTAAGGCACCTGCTGTCCCTATTCACCCATCAGTAAAATAGGTACCTGGGTGTTAGTGGACTGGTGTGCGTTGCATCCTGAGTCAAAACTGACCAAATTTGTGGAAAATGCTCTGCATAACAAGGGGCTTTCTATATAGTAGTATGTCATTGATGTCAACTATGGTCATAAGAACATAAGAAAGGAGGAACACTGCAACAGGCCTATTGGCCCATACTATGCACGTCCATTTCAAACCCAACCCACTAAAAAAATTATTTTCCCAACCCATTTTCAATCTTGCTTAACCCCTTGACTGCAGCAACCCCCAATCCTGAGGTATCTCCTGGTGTCGCAAAATTTAACCCTTTGACTGTCGCAACCCCCAATCCTGAGGTGTCTCCTGGTGTCACAAAATTTAAAAAAAAAAATAATTTTTTCTTATGAAATGATAGAGAATCTTTTCCCGATTGTAATGACACCAAAAAAACGAAATTTGATGGAAAACTGACGGAATTATGCTCTCGCGAAGTTAGCGACCTCGGCACTGTTTACAAATCGGCGATTTCGCCCACTTTGAGCCCTATTTTCGGCTAATTTCATTGTTCCAGTCGCCCAACCTCATAGCTATTTCTTCAGAACTCCATTTTTTCTATCGATTGAGTACAAAAAACTGCCCATTTACCGATTTCAACTACCTAATAATGTGGTCAGAAATTTGCAATTTGGCCAATTTCACGAAAACTAAAAAATATGACAATTTCAAAATATGGTCCAGAATGAACAATGCAGACATTCCTGGCTCTAAAATAACATTTTCTTTGTTCATCAGTCATGTCTCCAGGCTCCTCTGATATTACTCTTGCTTTCTATTTTGAATTTTTATTCAAACAAAAAATAGAAGACTTACTATTATGCAGACTACTGCAATACTGTAATAATTGTATAAATAACATCAACCCATTCATGACTGCATATTAGAATGGCTAGTTGGACATTTATTGGACAATGACACCATTTGTTTACTTTTGAACATCGGCAAAAATCAAACATTTCCCCTACTTTGAGCTACATTTCTAGGTTCTTTTTATAGTAAAATCAATCAAAATCACCTCTATTTCTATAATATATTTTTCATTCTATCAAATGAGACCAAGAAAACGAGAATACAACCATAAATACTATACGAAAATAGACCACAAAGTCGGCATTTTAATTAAAAAAAACGATCGGAGTTTTTTTTTCTCATTATGCACTGCGTGCTCCAGGATTTTTTTTATATGGTGCACACTGACCACACAGACCCATTCTCTCACATGTGGGCCTACCAGCTTTCTCCTGCTTGATTTGAAGCCGCTAGAATTTATGAGTATATATACGTCAAACACGGTACCTCGTAAGACGTATATATACGGCCGCGACAGTCAAAGGGTTAAGCAATAAGCTTTGATAACCTTTTAACTCATATGCAAGTCCTGCTTAAATCCAACCCCTCTCAATCATGTGTTTATGGTCTGTGTACCTTGTACAGGTACTTGTAGAAATAAAGATATTTTTTTTTTTTCAACAAGTCGGCGGTCTCCCACCGAGGCAGGGTGACCCAAAAAAGAAAGAAAATCCCCAAAAAGAAATTACTTTCATCATCATTCAATACTTTCACCTCACTCACACATTATCACTGTTTTTACAGAGGCGCTCAGAATACAACAGTTTAGAAGCATATACGTATAAAGATACACAACATATCCCTCCAAACTGCCAATATATTATTATTACTTATTTGCGTGTCGTATGAGGCGACTAAAATGCCGGGAGCAATGGGCTAGTAACCCTTTCTCCTGTAGACATTTACTAAAAAAGAGAAGAAGAAAAACTTTATAAAACTGGGATGCTTGAATGTGCATGGATGTAGTGCGGATGACAAGAAACAGATGATTGCTGATGTTATGAATGAAAAGAAGTTGGATGTCCTGGCCCTAAGCGAAACAAAGCTGAAGGGGGTAGGGGAGTTTCGGTGGGGGGAAATAAATGGGATTAAATCTGGAGTATCTGAGAGAGTTAGAGCAAAGGAAGGGGTAGCAGTAATGTTGAATGATCAGTTATGGAAGGAGAAAAGAGAATATGAATGTGTAAATTCAAGAATTGTGTGGATCAAAGTAAAGGTTGGATGTGAAAAGTGGGTCATAATAAGCGTGTATGCACCTGGAGAAGAGAGGAATGCAGAGGAGAGAGAGAGATTTTGGGAGATGTTAAGTGAATGTATAGGAGCCTTTGAACCAAGTGAGAGAGTAATTGTGGTAGGGGACCTGAATGCTAAAGTAGGAGAAACTTTTAGAGAGGGTGTGGTAGGTAAGTTTGGGGTGCCAGGTGTAAATGATAATGGGAGCCCTTTGATTGAACTTTGTATAGAAAGGGGTTTAGTTATAGGTAATACATATTTTAAGAAAAAGAGGATAAATAAGTATACAAGATATGATGTAGGGCAAAATGACAGTAGTTTGTTGGATTATGTATTGGTAGATAAAAGACTGTTGAGTAGACTTCAGGATGTACATGTTTATAGAGGGGCCACAGATATATCAGATCACTTTCTAGTTGTAGCTACACTGAGAGTAAAAGGTAGATGGGATACAAGGAGAATAGAAGCATCAGGGAAGAGAGAGGTGAAGGTTTATAAACTAAAAGAGGAGGCAGTTAGGGTAAGATATAAACAGCTATTGGAGGATAGATGGGCTAATGAGAGCATAGGCAATGGGGTCAAAGAGGTATGGGGTAGGTTTAAAAATGTAGTGTTAGAGTGTTCAGCAGAAGTTTGTGGATACAGGAAAGTGGGTGCGGGAGGGAAGAGGAGCGATTGGTGGAATGATGATGTAAAGAGAGTAGTAAGGGAGAAAAAGTTAGCATATGAGAAGTTTTTACAAAGTAGAAGTGATGCAAGAAAAAAGAGAAAAAGAGAGGTTAAGAGAGTGGTGAAACAATGTAAAAAGAGAGCAAATGAGAGAGTGGGTGAGATGTTATCAACAAATTTTGTTGAAAATAAGAAAAAGTTTTGGAGTGAGATTAACAAGTTAAGAAAGCCTAGAGAACAAATGGATTTGCCAGTTAAAAATAGGAGAGGAGAGTTATTAAATGGAGAGTTAGAGGTATTGGGAAGATGGAGGAAATATTTTGAGGAATTGTTAAATGTTGATGAAGATAGGGAAGCTGTGATTTCGTGTATAGGGCAAGGAGGAATAACATCTTGTAGGAGTGAGGAAGAGCCAGTTGTGAGTGTGGGGCAAGTTCGTGAGGCAGTAGGTAAAATGAAAGGGGGTAAGGCAGCCGGGATTGATGGGATAAAGATAGAAATGTTAAAAGCAGGTGGGGATATAGTTTTGGAGTGGTTGGTGCAATTATTTAATAAATGTATGGAAGAGGGTAAGGTACCTAGGGATTGGCAGAGAGCATGCACAGTTCCTTTGTATAAAGGCAAAGGGGATAAAAGAAAGTGCAAAAATTATAGGGGGATAAGTCTGTTGAGTATACCTGGTAAAGTGTATGGTAGAGTTATTATTGAAAGAATTAAGAGTAAGATGGAGAATAGGATAGCAGATGAACAAGGAAGCTTCAGGAAAGGTAGGGGGTGTGTGGACCAGGTGTTTACAGTGAAACATATAAATGAACAGTATTTAGATAAGGCTGAAGAGGTCTTTGTGGCATTTATGAATTTGGAAAAGGCGTATGACAGGGTGGATAGGGGGGCAATGTGGCAGATGTTGCAGGTATATGGTGTAGTAGGTAGGTTACTGAAAGCAGTTAAGAGTTTTTACGAGAATAGTGAGGCTCAAGTTAGAGTACGTAGGAAAGAGGGAAATTATTTCCCAGTAAAAGTAGGCCTTAGATAAGGATGTGTGATGTCACCGTGGTTGTTTAATATATTTATAGATGGGGTTGTAAGAGAAGAAAATGCGAGGGTCTTGGCAAGAGGCGTGGAGTTAAAAGATAAAGAATCACACATAAAGAGGGAGTTGTCACAGTTGCTCTTTGCTGATGACACTGTGCTCTTGGGGGATTCTGAAGAGAAGTTGCAGAGATTGGTGGATGAATTTGGTAGGGTGTGCAAAAGAAGAAAATTGAAAGTGAATACAGGAAAGAGTAAGGTTATGAGGATAACAAAAAGATTAGGTGATGAAAGATTGGATATCAGATTGGAGGGAGAGAGTATGGAGGAGGTGAATGTATTCAGATATTTGGGAGTGGACGTGTCAGCGGATGGGTCTATGAAAGATGAGGTGAATCACAGAATTGATGAGGGGAAAAGGGTGAGTGGTGCACTTAGGAGTCTGTGGAGACAAAGAACTTTGTCCTTGGAGGCAAAGAGGGGAATGTATGAGAGTATAGTTTTACCAACGCTCTTATATGGGTGTGAAGCATGGGTGATGAATGTTGCAGCGAGGAGAAGGCTGGAGGCAGTGGAGATGTCATGTCTGAGGGCAATGTGTGGTGTGAATATAATGCAGAGAATTCGTAGTTTGGAAGTTAGGAGGAGGTGCGGGATTACCAAAACTGTTGTCCAGAGGGCTGAGGAAGGGTTGTTGAGGTGGTTCGGACATGTAGAGAGAATGGAGCGAAACAGAATGACTTCAAGAGTGTATCAGTCTGTAGTGGAAGGAATGCGGGGTAGGGGTTGGCCTAGGAAAGGTTGGAGGGTGCGGGTAAAGGAGGTTTTGTGTGCGAGGGGCTTGGACTTCCAGCAGGCATGCGTGAGCGTGTTTGATAGGAGTGAATGGAGACAAATGGTTTTTAATACTTGACGTGCTGTTGGAGTGTGAGCAAAGTAACATTTATGAAGGGGTTCAGGGAAACCGGCAGGCCGGACTTGAGTCCTGGAGATGGGAAGTACAGTGCCTGCATTCTGAAGGAGGGGTGTTAATGTTGCAGTTTAAAAACTGTAGTGTAAAGCACCCTTCTGGCAAGACAGTGATGGAGTGAATGATGGTGAAAGTTTTTCTTTTTCGGGCCACCCTGCCTTGGTGGGAATTGGCCAGTGTGATAATAAAAATAAATAAATACTTATTTGTCCAACCTATTCTCGATGCAATTAAAAAAATTAGCCTAAATAACCTTAGTAACAAATACTAGACTGGTTCTACTCAAATCCAACCCTTCTTATATATTTTTCTAAGTTTTTTAAAGCTCCCCAAGCATATGGCTTATATGGTTTACTCTGTAGACTGTTTTTCTTAGTAGCAACTCTATTCCCAAACCAGTATTTTCCTACATCCCTTCTAAATCTAAATTTATCCAACATCTATCATTATAACATGGGTGACAATGACTGGGTAACAAGTCTATCATTGTAACATGGATGACAATGGGAAAATAGATTAGGTTAGGTTAGGTTAGGTTCCAACTTCTGAATACTCAACTAAGAAACTATATATTATCAGGAACATTTTTGGTGGGGGATCTACTGTACGGTACTATACAGCACTGTACAGTACTATACAGTACTGTAAAACACTGTACAGTACTGAGAAAATTATTCTGAAGTATACTGGAGGGTGGTTTGAGTTACTGAATTGTTTTTTCAACACTACAGTCATCTCCCTGAAAAAAAAAGAAAAAAATTGTTCTTTTTACATTTAGTAATGCATACAGGAGAAAGGGTTACTAGCCCCTTGCTCCTGGCATATTAGTTGCCTCTTACGACACACAAGGCTTACAGAGGAAGAATTCTTCTCCACTTCCCCCACAAGGAAGGTAGGTTACTGCTGGAAGTTAATTTGTAAGAGACAAATCACCTGAATCAAGTCAGTACCTGACCAGCTGGTTTGTGGTTCATATGTTGGTTTGCGTGCAGCCAGCAGTAACACCCTGGTTGATCAGGTCCTGATTCACAATGAGGCCTGGTCAAGGACTGGGCCATGGGGACATGGACCCCTGGAACCCTCTCCAGGTAGATTCCAGGTATATTTGAAATAAGCTCCAGAAGAAGCATGTATGGCAGCTATTCTGAAGTTGACAACAGTTACTGTACCATAACGATAACATGACATCAAGAACAAAGTTACTGTATGCTACTGCAGCAACACTGTTTTTAACACATCAGCTGTCTCCCACCAGGGTCGAATCACCCCAAAAAAAGAGGAAAGATTTTTTACCATGATTCATTCAATCGCTGTCTTGCCAGAAAAGTGGTGACATCATAGTTCTGATGGCTCTCTAGTGCAATATCTCCACTCCTCCTTCAGAGTGTTGGCACTGTCCTTCCCACCTCCAGTGCTCAACTCTGGCATAACTTCTTTCCATGAATCCTTCATAAATATTACCTTTCTCACGCTCCAACAACACATCAAGTCATAAAAACTCTTGCTCCCACTTATTCCTATCTAATGTGCTCATACAAGGCTGGTGGGTGCCCAAGCCACCTGAACCAGTAAAGGATCTCCTGACTACTTATAAATTTAGGACTCTGCTTAAAAATCATCTTATCTCTCATTACTAACCAAAACAACTTCTAATCAGTTATTATGTGACCTCTAGTCTTTTAAACATCTGCCAACCCATGAAATACTACTGCTTGAACCATTAATTGTAATATTCAAGATGATTATTCTTATAAACCTCCACCTTGACTACCTCACAATAGTATTAAGATTAAATATGATTTTAATAAAGTTAACCACTATTACCTTGTCTAGTTTTAAGTAGTTACTTTGTACTAGGAAAACCACTATCATGCTGAGGCATGATAGTGGTTTTCCTTGTACTTAGCAAACCAAAATTGTAATTACACATTGTAACCTTTACAAAGAAATAAATCTTTTTATCTTTAGCATTATCTTTATATATATCAGTAATATAACACAAAAATTATGATTACTAAGTCTGACTGACACAGTATCATCAAGTACAATGATAAGGTTATTTATAAAACAATAATATAGATACTAACCTTGAACTCTGTGGCAATAGGGATTGGATGGATCTCCATTAACAAAAAATTCATGCGACACTTGAGTATAATCTGGCGGCATTCTTGCTCCGAAGCCGAGAACTGGAAAGTGCTTATCTGTGTCATAATCTTCTATGATCTGCCCCACCGCCTGAATGGCCTGTGCGTACTGGTTGGGCACCGCTGGATTGATGAAGTGTAGAGACTGTGGTGTCTGAGGGTTACCATTTGATGCTGTGGAATTAATAAATCACATTACCATCCAGTATGAAGATATAATTTTGTCTGAATAAGTGTATATGCATAGGTGAGTGTGGGGGAGATGAGGGAAAGTAGTGTGTAGAATGAAAGGGAGTAAAGAAGGTGCCATTAAGACTGAGATGATAAAAGCAGGTGGGGATCTAGTTTTGAAGTGGTTGGTGTGTTCAATATATACATGAAAGAAAGAAAGGTACCCCAGGACTGGCAGAGAGTATGTATAATTTCTACATATATGGGAAAAATGGGGCAAGAGAAAAAAAAATCAAAAGGGATGAGAAAGCCTGTTAAGTATACCATGTAAAGTGAATAATAGAATTAATATTGAAGGAGTTGAGGTAGGAGGGAGAGAGAGAATAGGACTGCAGGGAAAGGTGAAGGATTTAGGAAAGGTAGGGGATGTGTCGACAGTGTTTAAATAAAGCACATAAGAGAATAATGCTTAGGTAGTAGGCTGGAAGGCAGCAACCGCCCAGGGAGGTACTACAGTCCTGCCAAGTGAGTGTAAAATGAAAGCCTGTAATTGTTTTACATGATGGTAGGATTGCTGGTGTCTTTTTTCTGTCTCATAAACATGCAAGATTTCAGGTACATCTTGCTACTTCTACTTACATTTAGGTCACATTACACATTCATGTACAAGCATATATATACACACCCCACTGGGTTTTCTTCTATTTTCTTATTAGTTCTTGTTCATGTTTATTTCCTCTTATCTCCATGGGAAGTGGAACAGAATTCTTCCTCCGTAAGCCACACGTTGTAAGAGGCAACTAAAATGCCGGGAGCAAGGGACTAGTAACCCTTTCTCCTGTATACATTACTGAAGTTGAAAAGAGAATATTTTGTTTTTCTTTTAGGGTCGCTCTGCCTTGGTGGGATATGGCCGGTTAGTTGAAAGAAGAAAGAAGAGAATAATGCATAGATAACAGTATGCATCTGTTTGTTAAACTTCATGGATAAATAAAAGATATAATATAGCTGGACTTGAGTCCTAGAAATGGGAAGTACAATGCTTGCACTCTAAAGGAGGGGATCGGGATATTGGCAGTTTGGAGGGGTATATTGTGTATCTTTATACGTATATACGTACTTCTAAACTGTTGTATCCTGGGCACCTCTGCAAAAACAGTGATTATACACAAATAACCCGCACATAGAAGAGAGGAGCTTACGACGACGTTTCGGTCCGACTTGGACCATTTACAAAGTCACACTAACAAGAAGTAGAGCAGGACGGGTATATATAGGCAGGAAGAGGTAGTGGTGGTAGTGGTGGTGGTGGTAGTGGTGGTGGTGGTGGTGGTGGTGGTGGTGGTGGTGGTGGTGGTGGTGGTGGTGGTAGTGGTGGTGGTAGTGGTGGTAGTGGTGGTGGTGGTGGTGGTGGTGGTAGTTGGTGGTGGTGGTGGTGGTGGTGGTGGTGGTGGTGGTGGTGGTGGTGGTAGTGGTGGTGGTAGTGGTGGTGGTGGTGGTGGTGGTGGTGGTGGTGGTGGTGGTGGTGGTGGTGGTGGTGGTAGTGGTGGTGGTGGTGGTGGTGGTGGTGGTGGTGGTGGTGGTGGCAGTGGGTGGTGGTGGTGGTGGTGGTGGCAGTGGTGGTGGTGGTGGTGGTGGTGGTGGTGGTGGTAGTGGTGGTGGTGGTGGCGGCGGCGGCGGCGGCGGCGGCGGCGGCGGCGTCGGCGGCGGCGGCGTCGGCGGCGGCAGCGGCAGCGGAAGTAGTAGTAGTAGTTGAAGTAGTAGTAGTGGTGGTAGTAGTAGTGGGGAATAAGGAGGAGGAGCCAACAGTGATTATGTGTGAGTGAGGTGAAAGAGTTGAATGATGATGAAAGTATTTTCTTTTTGGGGATTTTCTTTCCTTTTTGGGTCACCCTGTCTCGGTGGGAGACGGCCGACTTGTTAAAAAAAAAAAAAAAAAAGGTGGGTAACGAAGCAATGTGGCAGATATTTCAAATGATTATGTCAGGTCAGAGAGTTTGTATCTGGAGTGAGAGACTCAGGTTAGGGTAGAGTATGTAGGAAAGAGAGGGGGATAACTTTCTGATAAAAGTACTCTTAAGAACTATTAAGACTATGGGAAAATAAAAGTGTATGTACACCAAATGTAAACAGAAATTTACAAGATTTCCCTCTCATCTAAGCGGAAGAAAACATCTGCAATCTTGCAGAGTGCTAACAAATTAGGTTTAGACTTCACATGCATTTAACAGGATGGCAATACCTCCCTGGATGATTGCTGTGTACCAACCTACTTTGTACTAACACTTTTATATGGCTGTGAGGCCTAGGCTTCAAGAGTTCCAGTGAGGAGAAAGCTGGAGGCAAGGAGACGTCACATATGACAGCATTGTGCGCTGCGATTATTCAGAGAGCAGACTTTAGAAGATGTGGGATTATGAAAGGAACAATTGAGAAAGTGGAGGATTTGTTGAGGTGGTCCGGAAACTTAGAAAGAATGGAGAATAGGATGAACAAAAAAGTGTACAAATATGAAATAGCAGAAAGGGAGGTGGCATAAGATATCACAGAAAGGCTTGGAGGATGGTGTGAAGGTACTGAAGGATGGTGTGAAGGTACTGAAGGATGGGGTGAAGGTACTGGAGAATGGTGTGAAGGTACTGAAGGATGGTGTGAAGGAACTGGAGGATGGTGTGAAGGTACTGGAGGATGGTGTGAAGGTACTGGAGGATGGTGTGAAGGTACTGGAGGATGGTGTGAAGGTACTGAAGGATGGTGTGAAGGCACTGGAGGATGGTGTGAAGGTACTGAAGGATGGTGTGAAGAAACTGGAGGATGGTGTGAAGGTACTGGAGGATGGTGTGAAGGTACTGGAGGATGGTGTGAAGGTACTGAAGGATGGTGTGAAGATACTGGAGGATGGTGTGGAAGGTACTGAAGGATGGTGTGAAGGTACTGAAGGATGGTGTGAAGGTAACTGGAGGATGGTGTGAAGGTACTGGAGGATGGTGTGAAGGTACTGAAGGATGGTGTGAAGGTACTGGAGGATGGTGTGAAGGTACTGGAGGATGGTGTGAAGGTACTGAAGGATGGTGTGAAGTACTGAAGGATGGTGTGAAGATACTGGAGGATGTTGTGAAGGTACTGGAGGATGGTGTGAAGGTACTGGAGGATGGTGTGAAAGTACTGAAGGATGGTGTGAAGGTACTGAAGGATGGTGTGAAGGTACTGAAGGATGGTGTGAAGATACTGGAGGATGGTGTGAAGGTACTGAAGGATGGTGTGAAGGTACTGAAGGATGGTGTGAAGGTACTGGAGGATGGTGTGAAGGTACTGGAGGATGGTGTGAAAGTACTGAAGGATGGTGTGAAGGTACTGGAGGATGGTGTGAAGGTACTGGAGGATGGTGTGAAGGTACTGGAGGATGGTGTGAAGGTACTGAAGGATGGTGTGAAGGTACTGGAGGATGGTGTGAAGGTACTGGAGGATGGTGTGTGAAGGTACTGAAGGATGGTTGTGAAGGTACTGAAGGATGGTGTGAAGGTACTGAAGGATGGTGTGAAGGTACTGGAGGATTGTTGTGAAGGTACTGAAGGATGGTGTGAAGGTACTGAAGGATGGTGTGGAGGTACTGAAGGATGGTGTGAAGGTACTGGAGGATGGTGTGAAGTACTGAAGGATGGTGTGAAGGTATGAAGGATGGTGTTGAAGGTACTGAAGGATGGTGTGAAGGTACTGGAGGATGGTGTGAAGGTACTGAAGGATGGTGTGAAGGTACTGGAGGATGGTGTGAAGGTACTGAAGGATGGTGTGAAGGTACTGGAGGATGGTGTGAAGGTACTGGAGGATGGTGTGAAAGTACTGAAGGATGGTGTGAAGGTACTGGAGGATGGTTGTGAAGGTACTGGAGGATGGTGTGAAGGTACTGAAGGATGGTGTGAAGGTACTGAAGGATGGTGTGAAGGTACTGGAGGATGGTGTGAAGGTACTGAAGGATGGTGTGAAGATACTGGAGGATGGTGTGAAAGTACTGAAGGATGGTGTGAAGGTACTGAAGGATGGTGTGAAGGTACTGGAGGATGGTGTGAAGGTACTGGAGGATGGTGTGAAAGTACTGAAGGATGGTGTGAAGGTACTGGAGGATGGTGTGAAGGTACTGGAGGATGGTGTGAAGGTACTGAAGGATGGTGTGAAGGTACTGAAGGATGGTGTGAAGGTACTGGAGGATGGTGTGAAGGTACTGAAGGAGTGTGTGAAGGTACTGAAGGATGGTGTGAAGGTACTGAAGGATGGTGTGAAGGTACTGAAGGATGGTGTGAAGGTACTGGAGGATGGTGTGAAGGTACTGGAGGATGGTGCAGAGGTACTGAAGAATGGTGTGAAGGTACTGGAGGATGGTGTGAAGGTACTGGAGGATGGTGTGAAGGTACTGGAGGATGGTGAGAAGATACTGGAGGATTGTGTGAAGGTACTGGAGGATTGTGTGAAGGTACTGGAGGATTGTGTGAAGGTACTGAAGGATGGTGTGAAGGTACTGAAGAATGGTGTGAAGGTACTGGAGGATGATGTGAAGGTACTGAAGGATGGTGTGAAGGAACTGGAGGATGGTGTGAAGGTACTGAAGGATGGTGTGAAGGTACTGAAGGATGGTGTGAAGGTACTGAAGGATGGTGTGAAGAAACTGGAGGATGGTGTGAAGGTACTGGAGGATGGTGTGAAGGTACTGGAGGATGGTGTGAAGGTACTGAAGGATGGTGTGAAGGTACTGAAGGATGGTGTGAAGGTACTGAAGGATGGTGTGAAGGTACTGAAGGATGGTGTGAAGGTACTGAAGGATGGTGTGAAGATACTGGAGGATGGTGTGAAGGTACTGGAGGATGGTGTGAAGGTACTGAAGGATGGTGTGAAGATACTGGAGGATGGTGTGAAGGTACTGAAGGATGGTGTGAAGGTACTGAAGGATGGTGTGAAGGTACTGGAGGATGGTGTGAAGGTACTGAAGGATGGTGTGAAGGTACTGAAGGATGGTGTGAAGGTACTGAAGGATGGTGTGAAGGTACTGAAGGATGGTGTGAAGGTACTGGAGGATGGTGTGAAGGTACTGGAGGATGGTGCAGAGGTACTGAAGAATGGTGTGAAGGTACTGGAGGATGGTGTGAAGGTACTGGAGGATGGTGTGAAGGTACTGGAGGATGGTGAGAAGATACTGGAGGATTGTGTGAAGGTACTGGAGGATTGTGTGAAGGTACTGGAGGATTGTGTGAAGGTACTGAAGGATGGTGTGAAGGTACTGAAGAATGGTGTGAAGGTACTGGAGGATGGTGTGAAGGTACTGAAGGATGGTGTGAAGGTACTGAAGGATGGTATGAAGGTACTGGAGGATGGTGTGAAGGTACTGAAGGATGGTGTGAAGGTACTGGAGGATGGTGTGAAGGTACTGGAGGATGGTGTGAAGGTACTGAAGGATGGTGTGAAGGTACTGAAGGATAGTGTGAAGATACTGAAGGATGGTGTGAAGGTACTGAAGGATGGTGTGAAGGCACTGGAGGATGGTGTGAAGGTACTGGAGGATGGTGTGAAGGTACTAGGTTAAGGTTTAAGAAGCACCTGCCTGAGTATACAGTAGGCATGAGTAAGCCTATTAGTTCAGAGTGAAGACAAATTACTTTTAGGATTTGATGTACTTTTGGAGTGTGAGCAAAGTGACATTCATGAAGGAATTCAGGGAAACCTCAGTTAGCCAGACATAATCCCTGGAGGTAGAGTGGCTGCACTCTGAAGTAAGTTGTGAGCAGCATGTAGCAGGTCAGAGGTCAACCTCAACTCTCAACTTCGTAAAATATTAGCAAGACACATACTGAATGATTGTGAACACTGAATGATTGTGAACAGTGAATGATTGTGAACACTGAATGATTGTGAACACTGAATGATTGTGAACACTGAATGATTGTGAACACTGAATGATTGTGAACACTGAATGATTGTGAACACTGAATGATTGTGAACACTGAATGATTGTGAACACTGAATGATTGTGAACACTGAATGATTGTGAACACTAAGTGATTGTATGTATGTGACCCACACCAGTCAACTAACACCCATGTACCTACTTCTGGGTGAACAGGGACAGCAGGTGTAAGGAAATATGACCAAGGATTCACTCATGCTGGGGATCAATCCCAGGTCCTTTAGTGTGTGAGCTGAGGAGGCTACCAACTGAGCCACCATTATGATACATGTCAAAATGTAATACCTTGTTTCATGATGTATCTAATGTAGAATACAATAGGATATCCAAACTGAATACACTCAAGGGGAAAGCTGTAAACCTGTAAGAGCCACACAGTGCCTGGGAACGAGAGGTAATCAGGCATGATACAAGGGAGGGAAGAAGAGCTCCAATACCCTGGATAAAGAGTGCTCACCAGCCTCCTGGCACCTTCCAAGGGTCAAGCGTATATAAAAACTCTAACAGCGACTAACGAGGATGTAAAAATATTGAACAGCTCATGAAAGGGCCGTCATGGCATGTGCTTCTGAATTATTGATGTGGTAGTTCAATCACAATAAGGAAAAATGGTTCCATAGAGAGGAACTTTGTAAGAGACGTGACTCAATATCCAATTTTCAGGAAAACTATCACAACTGTGTTTTGTAATTCGTTAAAATGATATGAGAAAGAAATACAGTGGACCCCCGCTTAACGATCACCTCCAAATGCGACCAATTATGTAAGTATATTTATGTAAGTGCGTTTGTACGTGTATGTTTGGGGGTCTGAAATGGACTAATCTACTTCGCAATATTCCTTATGGGAACAAATTCGGTCAGTACTGGCACCTGAACATACTACTGGAATGAAAAAAGTTCGTTAACCGGGGGTCCACTGTATACTGAAAGTCACAACATAAGTCATCAACCTAAGTCAATGTTGATGAAAAATTTTATAACTGAAGTTACAAACCTGTAAAGTCAGGTTACCAACCTGTAAAGTCAAGTTACCAACCTGTAAAGTCGATACCAATAAAGGCATTTATCTCCATGCCACCCTTGATGTAGTCGAGGAAGGAGAAGACTTGACGAATATGCACTTTGTTAAGTACCACCTCACCAGAGTTCTTGTAGCTGCTACCTTTCCTTTTCTGCAAAGACAAATTGGTAACAATATACTAACAACCCATACACAGGAGAATACAGTCTCTCCTCACTTACCGACAACTTGGAGTTACGAAGGGCTCTCTGATGAGTCAGTATTGTGTGCCGTATGAGAGCTTGGGTCATGGAAACGGGCAGCACGGCGTCTCAGCGTCAAACATTTCAATCTCCTTTCTACAGCCACTCAGTACACTAGCTTTTACAGTCTCCAAGACTACATATTTGTACAAATTTATACTTCATTGTACACCCTTTAGTACAAGATAGAAGTGCAGCAATGCTTGGAAGAGGAAAAACAAGAGGAAAATACAACAAGTACAGAAGAAGTTCACAGAAAGGGTTAGCTGGTGTGTTCATCTGGCGTCTCTCATGGCATCTTAAAAAATGATTAAACTCGGTGAACAAGGTATGTCAATGGTAATAATAATAATAATATGGGTGTGAAACGTGGGTGGTGAATGTTACAACAGGGAGAAGGCTGGAGGCAATGGAAGCGTCGTGTCTGAAGGCAATGTGTGGTATGAATATAATGCAGAGAATTTGTAGTTTGGAAATTAGAAGGAGGTGCGGGATTACCAAAACTATTATCCAGAGGGATGAGATGGTTTGGACATGTAGAGAGGAATGAACAAATCTGTACAAAGGAGTGTACAAATCTGTAGTGGAGGGAAGGTGGGGTAGGGGTTGTCTAGGAAAGGTTGGAGGGAGGGGTTAAAGGAGGTTTTGTGTGAGGGGCTTGGACTTCCAGCAAGCATGCATGAGCGTGTTAGATATGAGCAAATGGAGACAAATGGCTTTTAGGACTTGATGTGCTGTTGGAGAGTGAGCAAGGTAACATTTATGAAGAGATTCAGGGAAACCAGCAGGCTGGACTTGAGTCCTGGAGATGGGAAGTACAGTGTCTGCACTCTGAAGGAGGGGTGTTAATGTTGGTTTTATAACTGTAGTGTAAGCGTGCCTCTGGCAAGACAGTGATGGAGTGAATGGAGACAAATGGTTTTTAATACCTGACGTGCTGTTGGAGTGTGAGCAAAGTAACATTTATGAAGGGGTTCAGGGAAACCGGCAGGCCGGACTTGAGTCCTGGAGATGGGAAGTACAGTGCCTGCACTCTGAAGGAGGGGTGTTAATGTTGCAGTTTAAAAACTGTAGTGTAAAGCACCCTTCTGGCAAGACAGTGATGGAGTGAATGATGGTGAAAGTTTTTCTTTTTCGGGCCACCCTGCCTTGGTGGGAATCAGCCAGTATGATAATAAAAATAATATTTTTTATTTATTAATTTGAACATGATACAGTGAAAGATTTTATTTTTGGGGCCACCCTGCCTTGGTGGGATATGGTCAATGTGTTAATAAATAAATAAAATAAAATAAATAAATAATAATAATCACTTTAGAGTGCTTTGAATGTCATTTACGTATTTCGTGTAGGTTTGATAGCTGACATTTAAAGCACTCCAGAGCGATTGTTGTTATTATTAATTATTATCATTAACACCATCAACATGCCTTGTTAACCGAGTTCAATCATTTCTTAAGATGCTGTGAGAGACGTAGAGAAATGTAAACACACAGAAAAACACACCAACTAACCCCATTATGGTGAACTCCTTTTTTGTACTTCTTCCATTTTCCTCTTGTTTTCCTCTTCCGAGTGTTGCTGCACTTCTGTCTTGTACTATGGGGTGCACAATAAAGTACAAATTTATATATGAAATATGTAATTTTGGAGATTCCTTGATGCTGAGACACATCACTAACCCCTTTATAATGAACTTCTTTTGTACTTTTTCCATTCTTTGTTCTTCTTCCTCTTTCTGCAATAAATACTCACCTCTCATCTTACATTAAGACTACAAATATTTTAAGGTAAGTAATGAGTGTATTGTATATGTATTTTACTTATTTACTGTTTTCTGCAATATATAAGTTATGCAAATTAACCTTTCCACTGTCGGTCCCGTAATACTATGGCAAAATTCTAGCAGCTTCCAATCTTGTGGGAGATAGCTGGTAGGCCTATATATGAGAGAATGGGTCTGAGTGGTCAGTGTGTGTGCAGTATAAAAGAAAGTCCTGCAGCACGCAGTACATAATGAGAAAAAAAAAAAACTGACCATGTTTTTGGTTTAAAAACTGACTTTGCAGTGTATTTTCATATGGTATTTATGGTTGTATTCTTATTTTCTTGGTCTCATTTGATAGAATGGAAGATATATTACAGAAATAGAGATGATTTTAATTGGTTTCACAATGAAAAGTACCTTGAAATTGAGCTCAAAATAACGGAAATGTTCGATTTTTGCCAATGTTGAAGAGTAAACAAATCATGTCACCGTCCAATACATGTCAACTGGTGAGTCTAATATTTTTTCACAAGTGTGCTGATATTATTTATAATATTTTTACAATAATGCAGTAGTCTGCATAACAGTAAATCTTCTATTTTTTTGCGAGAATAAAAATTCAAAATGGAAAGCAAGAGGGGCCTGGAGATGTGACTAATGAACAGAGAAAATGCTATTTTAGTGCCAGAAATGTCTGTCTTATTTATTCTGGACACTATTTTGAAATTGGCATCTTTTGAAATTTAGTTGACATTGGCCAAATTGCCAATTTCTAACCAAAATATTGGGTAGTTGAAATCGGTAAATGGGCGGTTTCTTGTACTCAGTCGATAGAACAAATGGATTTCTAGCAAAATAGCTATGATTTTATTTGGCTGGAACGATGAAACTGGCCAAAAATAGGACTCAAAGTGGGAGAAATTGCCGATGCATAAATATCGCCGATATCACTAACTTCGCGAGAGCATAATTTCATAAGTTTTCCATCAAATTTTGTACTTTTGGTGTCATTACCATTGGGAAAAGATTCTCTATCATTTCACAAGAAAAAAATTTTTTTTTTTTAAATTTTTCAACCCTGAGAATGAGTTAACCCTTTGACTGTCGCGGCCGTATATATACGTCTTACGAGGTACCGTGTTTGACGTATATATACCCATAAATTCTAGCGGCTTCAAATCAAGCAGGAGAAAGCTGGTAGGCCCACATGTGAGAGAATGGGTCTGTGTGGTCAGTGTGCACCATATAAAAAAAATCCTGGAGCACGCAGTGCATAATGAGAAAAAAAAAACTCCGACTTTTTTTTTTAATTAAAATGCCGACTTTGTGGTCTATTTTCGTATAGTATTTATGGTTGTATTCTCGTTTTCTTGGTCTCATTTGATAGAATGGAAAACATATTATAGAAATAGAGGTGATTTTGATTGATTTTACTATTAAAAAAACCTTGAAATGGAGCTCAAAGTAGGGGAAATGTTTGATTTTTGCCGATGTTCAAAAGTAAACAAATGGTGTCATTGTCCAATAAATGTCCAACTAGCCATTCTAATATGCAGTCATGAATGGGTTGATGTTATTTATACAGTTATTACAGTATTGCAGTAGTCTGCATAATAGTAAGTCTTCTATATTTTGTTTGAATAAAAATTCATAATAGAAAGCAAGAGTAATATCAGAGGAGCCTGGAGACATGACTGATGAACAAAGAATATGTTATTTTAGAGCCAGGAATGTCTGCATTGTTCGTTCTCGACCTTATTTTGAAATTGTCATATTTTTTAATTTTCGTGAAACTGGCCAAATTGCAAAATTCTGACCACATTATTGGGTAGTTGAAATCGGTAAATGGGCAGTTTCTTGTACTCAATCGATAGAAAAAATGGAGTTCTAAAAAAATAGCTATGAGTTTGGTCAATAGGAACAACAGAATTAGCCAAAAATAGGGCTCAAAGTGGGCGAAATCGCCGATTTGTAAATATCGCCGAGGTCGCTAACTTCGCGAGAGCATAATTCCGTTAGTTTTCCATCAAATTTCGTTTTTTTGGTATCATTACAATCGGGAAAAGATTCTCTATCATTTCATAAGAAAAAATAATTTTTTTTTTAAATTTTGCACCACCAGGAGACACCTCAGGATTGGGGGTTGCGACAGTCAAGGGGTTAAGGATCAGGGGTCTCAACCCTCAAAGGGTAAGACAAACTTCTTGTGTATTATTCTTACTGAACTATGGCTTAATCAAGACACAATATACAGTGGTCCCTCGTTGTTCGTAATTAATCCGTCCCTGGAGCCATTACTATAAACGAAATTTATGATTTACGAATCAATTTTCCCCATTAGAAATAATGTAAATACAATTAATCCGTTCCTGACACCCAGAAGTATTAAAACAAAAAATTTTTTAACATGAAATATACATGTAGTACATAAACAATACAATGGGAAATGATGAATGAAACATTAACAGCATAACACTTACCTTTATTGGAGATTCTTATTAGTGTATGGGAGACTGGAAAGGAGAGAGAGTGGATTGTTTATAGTTTGAAAGGGGAATCCCCTTCCATCAACACCTCAGGTACCATTTGCTTTTCTGGGGTTGCTTCTCTTCTCTGTTTCTTAATGCCACTAGGACCACCTTGAGAATCACTGGAGTCCTGTCTCACAAAATAACTGTGGAGAGAGCTCTGTTTCTGGCGTCTCTTTAACACTTCCCTAAAATGGCCCAAGACTTTGTCACTGTACATGTTGCCAACCTGGCTTGCAACAACCTTGTTAGGGTGATGTTTCTCCATAAAGCTTTCCATCTTACCCCACATAGTAAAAATCTCTTTAATTTCTGAAGAAGGCACCTTCTTCCATCTCTCTTCCTCCTCCTCTGCAGCAAGATTCTGAGCTGCGATGTGTTGTTCTTCCTGCTGAAGCTCTTGCAGCTCCTCAGTGGTGAGCTCTTCATTGTGGTCTTCCACCAATTCTTCCACATCCTCCAAACTCACATCCAACCCCATGGAACTCCCCAGTGCTACAATTGATTTTACAACAGACATAGGCTCATTAGGGTCAGTCCCAAATTCTTCAAAATCCCTCTTGTCGACACAATCTGGCCACAATTTTCTCCAGGCAGAGTTCAAAGTCCTGGT